TATGGTATAGGGGGAGAAAGTAAAAGAGAGAGAGCCTGGATGAATTGATATACCAAAAAGAAAACAGCAACAGGGACACTATAACAGTATATCTATTACTTATTTAATACGCAAGCAGGTTTTTTGTGACAATTACTCCTCCGAAACTACTGAACCGATTGCATGTTTTTGGTATCATTGGAAAGAGCGGAACGTCAAGTTGTGCAGGAAACTTTCTGCTTAGGGAAATAATTAGAGAGTGAGGCCCAGAGGTCCTTTAAAGTTTCGTATTTCTCCATAAGATTAACATGGGAAACAAACACTGTTATGAAATTCCAACCACTGTTGGCAGAAACTAAAAGTGAGAAGAAGAACATATGTTAATTGTAAACAGTCAATACGTTTGCTAAGAAACTATTGATTTCCTATAGGGAAATTTGCTAAAAAACCAAGTGTTGCACGTGGCATGGTAGGGACTTAAACGTGAAATCTGTCCATAAAGCACATTTGTCTGATATAAGGTTTTTGCGTAAAAATTAAGCTCTTAATTAGGACATTGAACTATGATAATTATTATAATTCATTTTTATTTTAACAATATCTATCCACCACCGTCAATGCGTCGATGATATTATTTAGCTACAACTGCAGCGACCCTTGTCGCGGCTGTAGCTACCTGCCGCCGAGAGAAAGCTCGCACCCCAACACAACAGTCTTTGTTTGGGTTCAAGGAACGCAAACTCTTTGTTCTCTTGCTCGCAAAACTGGAACCTCTGGTCATCGAACCGCCGCGCCGCTCCGCTTCTGCGGTGTTATGCAGCCCACGAGGCTTTGCACCCCCTGTGGCCACCCCGTGTTTTGTAGTAGGTGTTTGGTGTTTGAGGGCATTTGTCTCTCAACAGTTATTCTCTATTAATGGAGATGGTACTCAAGTAAGAGTACCGATAACGTGCCCGGCATGTCATTCCATTGTGGACCGAATAATTAGGGGTTGTTATTTAAATTAAATGAATTGTTGTTTTTACATATTTTATTTTACCTAATCTGGCTGCTTCCATAATTTATGTTACTTCAATTATACACACACTCACTCACATTTACGTACGGAAAACACTTTAATCTGTCATATTATTCGTTATTATAATATGTCGTATTATTATTATATTAAGAATCTACACGCTGAAGAAACACTCTTTTCCATTTTGAAATTCATAATCTCATATGTAATAACTTATTTATCTTAGGCAGGTGGCTAAGGGATGAATGCGTCCTAAAAATAGCCTACTATTATGGAGGGCCCACCACGAAAAGCAGTTTTTTTTTAATTAAAAAAAGTTTGCTTATTGACACTGGGGACATTGGGTCACTTATTCTTGCCCCATAAGGAAGCCAATGGGCCCCATTTTTAGGTAAATCTTCTTCTAATTAAATAACAAATACTTATCATTCTATTTTCACTCACAATTTAATAACTCTTTATAGGTGTATTTAATCTTTTAACCATGATTGAAGGGGTATACTGTAAGACATAATAAGTGGGCCTACAACGTATGAAATCACTTTATAATGCAATGTAATCATTTTCGAATTAAATAATGCCAGAGAGGAGATAGGGTTATCAAAAAACTAGCTGAAGCCGGCAGACGTTGTCTTGCCTATTAAAACGTAACAGGTTTTTTTATTTCACGATTCTGAATCAACCACTTGACGGATTTTCATCATTTTTGCGTTGAAAGAAAGATTTGATAGAAGCCCATTTTGGGAACTAGGGAATGTCGAAGCCACAATTTTAGTTTAGGGTTTCAGTTTTTTTAAATTAAGTTTAAAATTTTAAAAGTCCAGCAGCCGGCGCTAACATTCTACTCTAGGTTTTGGTATAATACAATTTGCTTAACGTAACAGCTGTAAACAATCAGCGTTTTCGACACAAATTCAGCATTTTTATGAAGGCAGAGGATACACGTCCGGTAACCGTACGTGGATTAGACGTCCGGCAATTACTGTCATAACCTAACCTAACCAACCAAACTTGCTGATAATGAAAAAATCTAATTAAGGTTAAATTCTTTCTCTATAAAAAAAATTATAAATGCCAAAAATTCTAATAAAAGATGTACAGTTAAGAATAAATGGTATTCAATGCAAACTCTTCGACAAAAAGTTAAAATCATCAATGAGATTCGAACCCTGGACCTCTTGCATATCAGCCGAGCACCTTATCCACTACACCACGACCACCGATGGCTGAACGTTGTATTGTTGTGGTAAAGGCGTTCCAGGCTCCCGCAACCCCATGACGTCATTGCCGTACGCCTTATCCACGTCCGGTTACCGGACGCGTATCCTCTATGTTTATGAAAATGAAATGACATACGTAGGGTTGACTTTCTATACTATGTGTAATGCTTTAATAATTGATACGTTTATTTATTCGGTTAGAGGACGAGAGATAATTTAAATATACAAAGTAAAATTAAAATAATAGATGTTCTAATTTATTTTTTCAACAGTCTAAAAAATCTTTAGTTTGTTTTAGTGCAATATAATTTGTTATAACTAACAGCTGGTTGAATATACAAATATTCTAAGAACTATGAGGTTAGTTTATTTACTCTGTGATTTTTTAATTGATTATAGAAATTAAGTAAGATTCTATAACCATTGCTTTATACGAATAGAAGCTCACGAGACTTCAAAAGAAAGCTTATGAAAATTGTTTTACCACCCGAATTTTTGAGGACAGGTTGGGAAAGTAACAATGACCAGAATTTTTAATTAATCTTGGTAGCTTTTTCTTTACAATAAACTTTGAACTGCTTAAAACTAAGCTTGAATTAGGAATAGACATATTGATATAACTATATACAATTTTTAATGGACTGCTCGATTCCCGTACGTAGGACGGGCCAACGGGAGCCTACCAGTAGACCGACAAGATACTTGGTCGTCTGGCCACTAGACCGTCTTTTTTAATTAAATAGATAAATACTGAAAACCAGTACGTCGACAAGTTATTTCATCGTCATTCCAGTTGACCGGCCTGTAAAACTAAATTATTATATACGAGAAACCTACTTGTCGTCAATCGACCCGACCGACTTACCACTTGCTCGTCTTTTAGGTGGGGATAGGGGGCAGAGTGGGAGGAGCTAACCGGGGATTACCCAGGAGTTTGAGGCGCTTCTCGTGGTTGAACCACGTCGCTCGAGGCTAGAAGCCAGTCTTGCCAACTGAAAGTAGCCTAGCTCCGTCGAACACTACACACTCGGCGTGTTTATACAGTCTGGAGTTTAGTTGACGTTGGCGCGCAATTCTAATGGATAGTTTCGTCGTTTCTATAGCAACCGTGAAGTGACCTCGTTCTCGCGCATTCCTCTGCCTTTGTATTATTTAATCTGCTTTGAAAGATAAGACTCGCTTATGTGCATTGACTATTGAATCAAATAACAATATCATTAGGGGGTTTTGATCGTTTGTTTGGATAAAACTACGTACCGTATATTGTAGAATTACATTTGTAGTGTGGTAATATGGTGTATATATATCTATATAATTAATACGCTACATGAAACTTTGTCGGTTGAACTCCTCCGCCATTTCTTAACCGATTTTATCCATTGACATCTCATTGGAAAGAGCGTGTCGCGTAGATTTGCAAACTGGCCTTACATTTTTGAAAAAGTCCCTTGGGCTCTGCCCCAGTGGCTTTGAAAGTTCCCATGTTATCCTTATGAAGAACATAATTGTTTACATTTTGGTCAGCTGTTTAATTTAATTGCTGTTATTTATTTTTCAATTCAATGAAACCCATCGAGTACATTTATTTACTATTTGAGTTTGTGTAAACATAACCTCCAAGACGGATTTTGTTAGTATGGTTGTACAGTATCTTAAATTTGTGTATTTATTTATCGTTGTTTTGTGTAGCTGTGACGGATCGTGTTAGCACGATTGTAACATTTATCGTTGTTTTGTGTAGCTATCATTTGTTTATTTGTTGTTTTTTTTCTTTTATATGCCTCCGACGTGACGACAACAACACATATAGACAGGAGGCGTAATCGTGATAACGACCGCAGCTCACAGAACAGTGGCGAGTATTAGGCTTAACTCATCACAGTCATCACCTGACCCTGGACAATCTCAACTATTAGGTTACAAATGCCCCCTAACACTACCCCAAAACGACTTTTCGTTCTCAATTGGCCCTCTAAAATGACCTGTGTTGCCTGTACAGCGAGGCATTTTGAGAAGGAGAAAACCGGCCCGAATGCTTTAGGTTTATCAATAACGAAGATAAACATAGTCTGAGTTACACACCGGTAATCTTTGAGTTGACTCTTTTAAATTCGTTGTAAATATGACTGTTATTCGTTTTGAAATATCTTCTGTAATATTAGCAATTTCTCGAATTCGAGCAACATGTACACTAGTATATAATTAATACGCTACATGAAACTTTGTCGGTTGAACTCCTCCGCCATTTCTTAACCGATTTTATCCATTGACATCTCATTGGAAAGAGCGTGTCGCGTAGATTTGCCAACTGGCCTTACATTTTTTTACAAAGTCCCTTGGGTTCTGCCCCAGTGGCTTTGAAAGTTCCCATGTTATCCTTATGAAGAACATAATTGTTTACATTTTGATCAGCTGTATAATTTAATTACTGTTATTTATTTTTCGATTCAATGAAACGCATTGAGTAAATTTATTTACTATTTGAGTTTGTGTAAACATAACCCCCAAAACGAAAACGGACCGTGTTAGTATGGTTGTATCTTGAATTTATATATTTATCGTTGCTTTGTGTCGCTATGACAGATCGTGTTAGCATGATTATAACTTAAATTTGTGCATTTATCGTTGTTTTGTGTAGCTATAATTTGTTTATTTGTTGTTTTTTTCTTTTAAATGCCTCCGACGCGACAACAACGAAACATAGAAAGGAGGCGTACACGTCAGCATCTGACCCTGGACAATCTCAACTATTAGGTTACGAATGCGAGCTAACACTACCCCTAAAAGACTTTTCGTTCTCAATTTGACCCTCTATCAATGACATGTGTTGCCTGTACAGCGAGGCATTTTGAGAAGGAGAAAACCAGCCGGAATGCTTAAAGGTTTATCAATAACGAAGATCAGGGATTTAGGTAATCAGGGTCTGAGTTACACAATGGTAATATTTGAGTTGACTCTTTTTAAACTCTTTTTAAACTTTGAGTTAAACTTTTTTAAATATGACTGTTATTGGTTTTGAAATAACCCCTGTAATACTTTGCAATTGCTTGAATTTGAGCAACACTAGTATATATATAGGACCTGTGTATAATTTTGGGTAACATGGAGGTCAATTTACCTTGTGTAGGCCTATATCAAAAAAGTTTAATATCTTAAATTAATCCAAACGATTCATAGTAGCCAACAGGCACAAAGTATTGTAATTATGCAAGATGTTGTAAATTTCAAAAATGTGTAACAGTTAAGTTTACTGCAACAGTAGTTCGTTAGGATTGCCTATTTAAGTAAGTTGTTATTAGGTGTATAAGTCGTTCATCAAGCGTCATGAGAAACGAAATCTGTTATAGAAGTGAAAAAATACAGTTAATCAAATGGTGCTGTATATAACATATCTGCAAATAAAATTAGAGTTTTGTCTGTACACTGTTCAGAATGACATATTTTCCTCCTCGATAAGGGTTTACCTCCTCGCAAGTTATGTCAAAAAAGGTGTAATTGTAATTTTACTAAGAAAATTAAATCCAAAAAAAGGACTGGTTAATAGAACCAGATTAATGGCGAAAGTTATGAATGATGAAGTCTTGAAATTATTACTTGAAGTTCAGCTGGAAAACGAGTGTTCCTCTAAAATTCGTCCTCGAAAAGTTGGTCTTTATCTGCTAGAGCTACATCCCCTGCTTACAGCATGGGGAATTGTACGTAACAATTTCAAGATGCCGCGCTTTTGATGATCTAAAAATAATGGTTAAAGAACAACGAAACCAAGGTCATTTGGCTGAAGATGTTAGAGTGTTTACAAAAAGACATGGTATGTGAAGAGTTTCTTATTTAACATTTTAAAAGTAAGATAAACATTTTAACTGGTCTGTCAGTCAGTATTCTAAGCCTACTCTGTTAAAACCTTTATTAAAACAGTATTGAGCTTAAGATTTTTATTTACGGTTAGTTAAAAGTTAAGCGCTTAAAATTTTTCCTTTTTTTTGTATTGAGAAGTTAAAAGGTAATTAAATTTTTTTAATGATTTTTAAATAGGTACTGTATAGTTAATATTAACTGGAAACAACTAGTCTATACTAGAGTAACAAATTACAAAATACAATACAAAGGAAAAGGGCATTCCTATGAATGCTATTGAGCATTGATTATTTCATGTATTTGGGTTTTATGATGTATTACTAACCAAAGGAATACTTACTAACCAACCGCGATACCAGTGACTTAATAACGGTCAACAGATGTTGGGTATCACGAGCTTAAAGGATCGCTAGACAAAGTTGCCCGAATCGCATGGATGGTAAAATAACTTCTGGCGATGTCTAGAGAGATTGTTATTTAGAACACATGAAATCCTTTCTATAACATAAATGTCGGCTAATCGTGTGATTCCAAGTACTTTCGCCTGATTTGAAACATATTTCCAAGCCCGTGCCAATATTACTTGTTTCTGTTCGAAAAGGCCATTGCTGTGAGAATATCAGGTAAAACTAACCTAGAAACTTGAAAAATACAAATTAACAATAAATTGGCAACATAATAAATATGGAGCATTACTGATATCGCAAGTAAAACAAAAAAGACTTAACTATATAAGTAATCGCAATGGGAAGAGAACGCGGAAGAAAATAATGTCTGTATATGCTGTATATGCTGTGTATGCTAAGATCTGTATAGTCCTTGCCTTATATAATTGACAAATGCTTATATTTGCTCCAAACAAAAAAAAACCAAACCCTTCAAATATTTAAGTTGACGGGAGCGGGACCTACCACTTCTAAAGAACGCCACCGTGTCTGTCATCCCTATTCTCTTACTTAAGAACACCCCTAAAAACCTTCACCGAATAGGTAAGGTACTATCGTAAAAATAACGAGGAACTTATATAAATCAGTTTTAATTTACAATTCTCTGGACGTAAATCACTGTGAGAACCGAAGCCTTGGGGAAAGTCCACGGGTGCGGGACTTGCCACTAGGGCGGTCAATATCTTCAAAAGAACGCCACCGCGTCTGCTTTCCCTAACTTAACAACACCCTTATAAGCCCTAAATGAATAGAGACTATCATAAATATGACTAGCACCTTTTACAACTTCTTTCCATTTCCAATCAACCTGACCTGTCCTTCATCGGCGTGAGAACGAAAGTATTGGGGAAGTCCAGAGAAGCCTAGAACTGCGTAGATGAAAGAGAAGCCGCGTTGGATGACCTTGCCACCCCTTCGCATACCTTCATCAGCAATATCTCATAGTGACTTTTTACAACGCAATTTTTGTTGTCAATTTGTCTGATCTGAACAATTTAAATATTTCAAAATTAACTAAGCGAATAGCTGATTATAATTAATTGATCATTTTTATTGGTATTTGTGTAGCCACAATATCCGGATTGAGCGTAGTAAACGAACATCAACCAGGACGTGTTTGATTGATGCGAGCGAGCTCATCTTGAAAATGAAAGAGCATTTGACATTAAACCACAATAGGACCACATGGTATATTGGATTAAAATTTGCACTGGTTATCAGTGTTCGTTGACTTTGGAAATAAGTCAAACGTCACAGTGTCTAATGCTATTCAGCAAACATTCCACATAATTAGTTCCACTATTCGATCAACTTGAAATGCTTACATTTCTTAATAACGCTGCCATTGATTTTTATCGTATTAGCTTATCTAATGGCATAGTAAATACAACCCAAGGCTTCACCTGCGGTGAAGCAGCCATAAATATTTTACAGTACAGTACATAAGAAATAAACAGAGTATTACAATCATGACAATAATCATCCGTAGTGGCTTAGCCAAAAATGACAAAAGTAAGATATTATCATCATTGTGTCACGCACAGTTTAAATAGACACAGTTTAAATTTCGATCATAGTTAGTTGTAATAAACATTATGAATCGGCATATTTTGGGGTAGGAGTTAAGAATTTTATATTTGAATTTCAACACAAAAAATCTTTTAAAATCAATATTTCATTTTCTCCGTAATTTTCTCTCTACAGCTTAAACCATACATTTTCGAAAGTTTAAAAATACCATAATCGGATTCCTCACCTATTAAAACATACATTTTGACATACGGATCAATATATTTGTACAATCCGTTCCTTAATAAAAACCTATATATTGTCATAATCGTCGCGCGAAATATAAGAATTTGTATCGACCTTATGGCTACATTTTCGATCATAGTTGTAATAAACATTATGAATCGGCATACTTTGGGGTAGGAGTTAAGAATTTTATATTTGAATTTCAACACAAAAAAATCTTTTAAAATCAATATTTGATTTTCTCCGTAATTTTCTCTCTACAGCTTAAACCATACATTTTCGAAACTTTGAAAATACCAAAATCGTATTCCTCACCTACTAAAACATACATTTCGACATACGGATCAATATATTTGTACAATCCGCTCCTTAATAAAAATCTATATATTTTCATATTCGTCGCGCGAAATATAAGAATTTGTATCGACCTTATGGCTACATCATCGATCATAGTTGTAATAAACATTATGAATCGGTATATTTTGGGGTAGGAGTTAAGAATTTTATTTTAGAATTTCAACACAAAAAATCGTTTAAATTATATATTTGATTTTCACCGTAATTTTATCTCTACAGCCTAAACCATACATTTTCGAAAGTTTAAAAATACCATAATCGGATTCCTCACCTATTAAAACATACATTTTGACATACGGATCATGGTATGTCCAATTCGTGGTTTAATTCGATTCGTTACAAATTATTCAATTAAAATGCAATCAAAAACTACTTTCGGCCAGATATTTGGTTGGAATGTGGAATATCTTAGCTATTGTATAAAATTATAGCTTAACTAGTGTACATGTTGCTCGAAATCGAGCAATTAATTGCAAAGAAGTACAGGAGTTACATATAAACAAATGACTTGTTAAAAAACTAATAACAGTCATAATTTCCGATGATTTTAAAAGAGTCAACTAAAAGATTATTAACTAATGGAAATACTCACAATTTACATAACAGTCCTATTCCAGTTTAAAGGGTTATTTTTTAACTATCAAACTGCCCATGGACGGGAAATGGTAAGCTTACAATTTAAGTAAAAAAAAAAAAGTCTGTCAGCTTTTATAATGTACTGTACCTAAGTTATTTAGCCAATTTGTAGACAATAAGGTGTAGGCTACAAACTCTACAGAACTCTCATGCTTCCATGGGGAGCAACTAATCCTACTAATATTATAAATGAGAAAGTTTGGATGTATAGATGTATGGATGTATGGATGTATGTTTGTGACAAGTGAACGCGAAAAATACTGGTCGGATTGGGCTGAAATTTGGCATGATGATAGCTCACATTCCCGATTAACATATAGGCATATTCTTATTTCAAAAATCCTTTCGGGCTCCGCCCCAGTGGCTCTGGAGTTTCCCATGTTAACCTTATGAGAAATGGAATTATTGAATCTTAACAGCTGTTTCAACTAAACAAGTTGGTTCTGTTCTATGATGTTCAATAGCATTAAAGTTACAAGGATTACCAACAGGGTGCAGCACTATTATTTCTTTTACATTTATGACAACAGCTAATTTGCAACCAAAAGGTGAGTGAGCGTAGCGAACGAACTTCAACCTGGAGGCGAGTTAGCGTAGCGAACGAGCTCCAACCTAAAGGTGAGTGAGCGTAGCGAACGAGGTCCAACCTAAAGGTGAGTGAGCGTAGCGAACAAACTTCAACCAGGACGTGATTGAGCCATGCGAACGAGATAATCTTGAAAATTAAGAAGTTAAACGGGGCAAAGCCCGCGGGTTACAGCTAGTTATTAATATTTAATTCCTGACAACAGCTGGAGTTTCAAAACAATGTTTGTTTCCCGTGTTAATCTTATGGAGAAATACGAAACTTTAAAGGGTCCCAGGGCCTCACTCTCTAATTATTTACCTAAAAAGAAAGTTTCCTGCACAACTTCACGTTACGCTCTTTCCAATGACACCAAAAACATGTCAATCGGTTCAGTAGTTTCGGAGGAATAATTGTCACAAAAATCCTGCTTTCGTATTAAATAAGTATAGATGTGACTGTGGACCCAATTTTGTACTAAACACACGCTGTTGTTTGATCTCGAGTAGCCGACCCAGTGTTAGCATCAAAAGGCCAAAAACTAGGAACGTAGCGCCAGCCACGTCCCTTTCACTTTCAGCAATTTTACAACCCTCGCCAACCCTACACATCCAAAGACAGAGAGAGAGAGGGAGAGAGACAGTAAAACAGCTGTCGAAGTCGATCGGGTCGACCTAGCCTCGGTCGTCAACTCGCTTCCTTTTTCTTCGCCTACAAGCGTTTGAATAGGGGCGCGGGGAAAACTACTTGTGTGATGCGGCACGCGTAATACCGGAAAAGGCCTTCGGGTAGTTCTAGAGCGCCGCCAGAATTGGGTCGCTGGAGTCGCGTTTTAGTTGCCACTTTATATTGAAGATTCTTAAGTGGCAAAAGAGTTTATGACGAAATATACCCCCACCGCAACAAACCTGCAGACTAAGCAAATTTCTATTTGCCTGATTGGATTTACACTAAAATGACTTTTTGAAAATATCACAGTTATTCCATATTTAAATAGAATAAGTTTAACAAGTACTTAGGTTTGCTGCAACAGGGAGGGTAAAAGTGTGTTTTTTTTGTAAAATAATAACATTTTATAAATAAATAAATGATTTTTTTCTAATTTAATGCAAATATTTTCATAAACAAGAAAACTACTACAGTTTACTTATTCCCTGGTGTGAGTGAGGGTATACATTCAACTCTAGAAAATACGCTGGTCAACGAACGACAAAGAGTTTCCTTGGATGGGTGGCCGACCGACCGGTGGTCATAGGGTGACGACACAAAGGGGGTGGTAGGCGGGTATCCGTGTCGGCCAGTGAGTCAGTGTTACCGGTGTTACTTCAAAGATGAATTATTGCCCTCGGGGAATCCCGAGGTAGGCGCGGCGCCGCCAGCTCGACACTTGTTTCGGTCACTGGTCTTGGTTGATTGTTTCGTTTTCGTTTTACTATCTTTTGATACTTTTACATAAACGATATAGCCATGATATATTACTAATGAAAATTCAATAAGTACATTGCACACTATAAAAAAAAACTTACATATAGGATAGTTCATGTAAACAGTTGTTGCTTAAATCGTTTGGAACTCTGGCCACGTCTATATTCTTCATTAGAGTGAACTTAACTGCAGGCTATTCAATAGACTGTGAAAAAAAAAACTGTGAATGATTTTATGTACTTGGTTTTTTTATAATTATAGCAAAAGCTACCAATCTTTGTCATCCGCGTCATAATTCTTGAGCTAACTACTTCTGCAGTGATATACCTTACACGTCACAAAACTGTATTAACCCTAGATCCAGTACCTCTGCTCCAACTAGTATTATAACATTGCCGTCCAGGAATCTTTGAACATATAGTTTGACAATAATTGCATGGATAGTACAGCCGTTTCAACAAGGATTTATTTACTATATGTTCTTAAAACTGAAATTAATTAGAAATACTATTAAAAAAAAATTAAATTAATTAATTTGATGTGAATTTAGCTTTAGTTAACAACACTCATACAAGTTCATAAACATAAACCAAATACAATTTTTTTTAATAGAAACGATTTGCAGGGTCGTCCAGATGAACTTGGAAATAGTACCATAGATAAAAGGAGTAGACATACTCTGTCATACATACATGTCTATACTCCTTTTATCTATGATAGTTCATTAGAAAATCTGAATATACAGTAGTGCCGTGCATTTGAAGTACTTACTCAGAACACAGACTTACTTGAGGACAGTTAAACAATAAAACGCAAAGATCCACGGAAGTAAAGACTACATTATTTAGTAAAAAAAAACAAGGATGCGTCAGTTAGGGCCAGTTAGACAATTGAAGTACACAGAATTGAATCACCATAGTATGTCCACGCAACAACGTGAGAGGATAAAACATGTACTTCTTCAATTATAATTACATGTTTCTGTGTAAAACCGAAGACAAAAAACAGACTTTACTAAGAAAAACTTCTCCCCGGTAACACAGGCAATGGGAATTCCTTCTAGACAAGGTTTTCAATAGGCCTACAACAAAATCATAAAACAAAAGATGTTTCTCAGGCTAAGTAGCACACTGTGCACTTCAGCAAATAAATAGTTTACCGAGATAACTATTGCTTACCAAGA